AAAGATTAATGATCCTAACTAGTTGAAAAATCTACATTGAATTGTATGTGAGATTAAGTATAGGAAATATTCAGTTCCATGTTTTATTATTTTCATTTAATTTCAAACATGTATACTTCTGTTTCCTAAGGGAGTTCATAGTAACTACTTCTTGAATTCCTTTTGAATTTGTAGAAGGGAAATCCACCACTAATAGAGTAGAGCAAAGTTGTTCAACCTGAAGCCCCAGGGGAAAGAAGAGGCAGGAGGAGATGAAACTTCATGCTAGATTAAAAGAGTAAAATATTGACAAGTAGTGAGAGCAAAAGGAATGAGGTTTTAGAGTTATTTTCCCAGACATAAGCACAGTTTCTGTAACTTGATACACACACACATGCACACACACTGTTAAATAATTGCTGGGAAATACCTTTGCTACATTTTGAATGCATGCAATGAAACATGTATGTAAAATGTCTCAGGAACTGAGAAGTGAACCTGTACTATGTAATGGTTGGACTACAGTAGATGTTCAATTGGATTTCATAGCTTTTAAACATTCTGCATTTCACCCTAGAAATCATGACTGTGGGATTCATATCCATGGAGGTTTTCAGTATTCTCAAAAGGATTTTCTGAGAATGTGTGCTGATAATCTATCTTAAAGGAAAACTGAAATTTCAAGTAAAAGATTTTGAGAATCGCTAGGCACTCCTTCACTTGCTTTACAAGACTTATGAATGATTCAACATCTGGTAAATTTTATTTTAATTTATAATAATAGTAATTTAGAAACATGAAGCAAGTTTTTAAAGCACATTTAAACATCACAAACATTTACCAATAAATGACACTAAACTCATTTGGAAAACATCATTTCCCCTTCATATAAACTGCCAAGGACACAGTTAGGGCATCAGACTTAAACTCAGTATTTTTTGACACTAGAAGACTTAAAGCAGCCTCTATTGTCCCCAAAAATAGCTTCACACCACTATTCATATGTATATCTCACTCTTGTTCCTCATTGTGTTGTGACATGGAAAGTTCAGCCTGAGTTCATTTAATCATCAATTCTGGGGTGTACCAAAGTGACAAATTTATGACATACTTTCCTGACAAACCGGCTGACAGATAAGGGTCATTTTGTTGTAGTAGTCTTTCATCTTTAGTAGGGTTGGCTTGGAATTAGATAATTATGTCAATAATACAGCCTCCAAAGAATACACTGAAAGTAAGTAGCTGGTTGAGGGTCATATATTATAACTTCATAGCTAAATAAGGACTTGCACCAAGGTCTATTTGATCCAAGTTCATCAGCTGCAGTTTTCTGGTTCATTTTTCTTAAACCTTTTGACCAGTTCATCTGGCACTATTAAGCAGAGAGCATTGCACTTTCTATTGATTGTAACAATACTTTGCAGTGCTTTCTTCTTCTGATATAATTGACTTTGATCTGATGATTTCCCTAATGAACATTTATGCAGATAATTTTAACAGAATAATAGAGTTGGAAGGGATCTTGGAGGTGTTCTAGTCCGACCTCCAAACCCTACACCATTTCTGACAAATGATTGTCCAGTCTAGTGGTGAAATCTGTACCGGTTTACTACCGGTTCGCTGTGCGCGCCATGTGCCAAACACATGCTGTGTGCATGTGCAGTGCACACCAAATGCAAGTTGTGCACGTGCACACACAGTATGTCCAAAAGGAGGCTTGGGAAGGTAAGTAGAACAGTGTGTGGGGAGGTGATCAGCTGTGGCGCACGATCGTGGGAACCTTTTAAAAAACTTTTTAAAAGCATTTTTTACTACTGGCTTGGACAAATTGGTAGTAAAAAGTGCTTTAAAAAAGTTTTTAAAAAGGTTCTGACGATCACGCGTCACTCAGCTGATTGTCGGAACTTTTTTAAAAACATTTTTTACTACCAGTTTGGTGAATCGGTAGCATTTTTTACTACAGGTTCGGGCGAACCAGCCTGAACCGGTAGCATTTCACCCCTGGTCTAGTCCCTTCTTAAAAACCTCCAGTGTTAGAGCACCCACAACCTCTGAAGGCAAGCTGTTCCACTGGTTGATTGTTCTTACTGCCAGGAAATTTCTCCTTAGTTCTAGGTTGCTTCTCTCTTTGTTCAGGTTCCATTCATTGCTTCTTGTCTTGCCTTCTGGTGCTTTGAAAAATAGGTTGACCCCTTCTTCTTTGTGGCAGCTCCTCAAATATTGGAACACTGCTATCATGTCACCTCTGGTCCCTCTCTTCACTAGACTAACCATGCCCAATTCCTGCAACTGTTCTTCATATGCTTTAGCCTCCAGTCCCTTAATCATCTTTGTTGCTCTTCTCTGTACTCTTTCTAGAATCTCAATATCTTTTTATATTTTTTTGGTCACATGGTGGACAAAAATTGGATGCAGTATTCCAAGTGTGGCCTTACCAGGGCATTATAAAGTGGTAATATTTCTCGTGATCTTGATTCTAGCCCTGTTAATACAGCCTAGGATTCTATTGGGTTTTTTGGCAGCTGCAGCACATATGTGATTGTCCATTAGGACTCCAAGATCCCTCCCTCAATTACTGCTGTTGAGTCAAGTTTCACCTAGTCTGTACCTGTATATTTGTTTTTTCTTGCCTAAGAATAAAACCTTACTTTTTGCTACATTTAATTTCATTTTGTTAGATAAGGTCCAGTGTTCAAGTCTATTGAGATCCATCTGGATTTTAAGCCTACCTTCTGGGGTGTTGGCTATTTCTGCTAGTTTCGTGTCATCTGCAATTTTTTCCTGGGACAATGTGAATTTGCAGTATATGAACTCATGTGGAATGACTGCAAGTTTGTCATTCAAAAAATGAACCTTTACTGAGTCATAGAGTGTTAATGAGGAATGTCTCAGATTCAGGGTCCAGCATCCTCAAAGAAGATTGGACAAATCTACTTTGCCGCCCAGAGTCCCTAGGGAGTTGGACGGCATAGAAATGTGACAAATAAATAAATAAATACTTGAAAACTGAGAACAAAACCATTAAAATGTAACATATTTAATACTGAACTCAATGAGTTAATGGATTTATTCCCTTACACTAGAGAAGAAGAAGAATAAAAATACTTCACTGGGCTATTAACTCACTTACCTCAGTATTAAGTCTCCTGCTCATTTTAATACTACTTCAGATTCAAGGCATCAATATGCTTCAGAAACTAGCATCTAAAATTCAGAAAAGAGTTGCAGTTAAACGATAACACTCTTGAGAAGACAAATCCTTATAGCCAAATTAAATGTTGCTCCTGAGTCTCATTCTATAATATTTTGCACTTCACTGCTCTGTCAGTTATTCCTCATTTAAAAATGGATTTTAAAATGCTGTCACCTTTATAAATCAGTGAAGAATTTCAATTCAGTGGAGTCTTCTAATTTGGACATATGCTACAGAGGGAAGTCCAAGCAAAGGAATAAGTGACAATAGAAACTTCTATATGCAGTAGGCAAAATGCTGGTAGCTCAGTTGGTAAAATTTTCCTTTGTCCTTTTATGCTATAACTGCACAGGATATCTTGGTTGGTTTGATTCAGTGCATTTCATACCCATAAGCCAATTTATGTCTTTGTATTTTCTAAGCTAAATCCCAAGAATTTACATTAGTTGAAGGCACTTATAAAGTATCAAGAACTAATAGTGAAAGCTTAGATAATCTCTCCAGAATTTATTTTGTATTTTGGCTGCTGGCTATTGAAAAGGATAAACTCAGTATAAACTGATACTTAAGAATGGCTTTCTATAATCCAGAAGAGAAATAGTAACATCAAGTCAGATCTTCCTGAAAGAAACTGGGCAGTTTCTAATTCTGAGTGTTCCTAGTGTATCAACCCATGAACTTCTGGAACCAAGGTAACAGATTGAAATATGAGAGAACAAGGTGGAAGAGTGCTTGGGTGATACATGGCCCAAAGTGCCTTCTCTACAGGATTATTTTTATTATGAAAAAAGAGAAGAACTATCTCTAGTCTTTGTCTAATTAGAGCTAGAGTGGGCCCTCGCTTGCAGCGGTGTCTCTTCCTTCCCCAGGATCGGCCCACAGCTTTCCACTGTTCTCTTCTTTGCCTTCTGTGCAGCTGCGCATCAGACACTGGATCCAGCTGTTCCTCCTCTTCTTCATGAACCACCTCCAGGCCTGGGGGCTGTTGACTCTCCATCTGAGGGCTGATGGATGGCCCAGGCTCCGCCTCTCTCTTTCTCTCTCTCTCTGCCAGCTCCATTCTCTCTCCCCCCTCAGAGCTCCCAGGTTGCCCTGATCTGACCCTGACTCCCACAGCCCCTCCTCCTCTGATTCGGCTGCTGGAGGGGCCGACAGCTGACAGACCAGAACAATAATTCCAGGTGTGAAATCCAGCAGGCTCTGACAGGTTCTGAAGAATCAGTAGCAGAAATTTTGAGTAGTTTGGAGAACCGGCAAATACCACCTCTGGCTGGTCCTAGAGTGGGTGGGAATGGAGATTTTGCAATATTCTTCCCCCTGGAGTGGGGTGGAAATGGAGATTTTGCAGTATCCTTCCCCTGCCATGCCCACCAAGCCACACCCACCAAGCCACACCATGCCCACCAAGCCACACCCACAGAACCAGTAGTAAAAAAAAAAAGAATTTTACCACTGAATAATTCCCATAATTGAGCCATGCTGGCTGGAGACAACGGGAGTTGTAATTCAACCCATCTTGAGTAGATTGCTTTGTTCTCTACTTCAGACAGTTCTTCATATGGTTTAATCAATAGGAAGAAGCTTCTCGATATACATTTTCTCATACAAATCTGACATGTACTCTTTATTTGTTCCAGCATTATCTTCTTGAAAATTGCTACCAGAAAACTTGACTTTGGTCCCCTGTTTTCTTTTTCTTGTTTCTTACACAACTCCCTGAATTCCCTTTTCTGTTAGGTTAATTTCTAGTCTCCAGTTTGGACTCAAGAGAAGCTACTCAAACCATCAACACAGGGCAGCTTTAATATGAAACTTTATTGTGTTCTAGGATGTACATTTATTGATCTTTCTCAGCATGAAGAAAAGAGTTATATCTTTGGTGAGTTAATTTCAATGCTGCTTTTTTCTGCATTTACAATTTTTTAATGGGTATATTAGTTTTCCCCCCAGATATTTATTTAAGCAATTGTTGGTTGTTTACATAACCAATATTTTTGCCCTTAGAACTTTTAGCTCCCACAGTTGATTTCATGTTACACATTCTCTTATTTATATAAAAAAATGTATTTTACATTCTCCTTCTACCTCAGTATCTAAAAGCTTCTACTGTAATAGTTTAAATTTTGGACATTGATTTGCTTAAGGCTAAATATTAAGGGCTGATTGTGCAGAAGAAAAAGTAGATCATATACTCAACTCATGCAAAAAATATTTCATAAACTAATTATAAATAAGGACAAAACACAGTCACCAAAATAATTCACTGGAACGTGTAAAAATTGTCATGAAAAATTGGTGGAAGCATATATTTGAAAATGAAACAGTTAAAATATTGTGGGATTTCCAAACACAAACTGGTAAAGTTTTGGCACATAACGCACCAGATTTAACTGTGATTGAAAAGAAGAAAGTGTGGATTATTAATCTGTCAATTACCAGGGGATAGTAGAGCAGAAGAGAAAGAACTGGAGAAAATCACAAAATATTAAGATCTGAAAATTCAAACTGAAAGATTATGGCATAAAGTAGCTGTGGTGGACCCAGTGGTTATCTGTACACTGGGTGCCATACCAAAAGCCTTTGACAATACTTAAAACCCCCGGCATATTGGCAAATTTTCCAACTGTCAATTATAAAAGGCTACATTGCTTGGATCCACACATATAATACACTAATATGTTATGACATCGTAGGTTTTTGGGACGAACGTGATGCAATGATTCCATGTTGTTTTATATACAATAATGATAAAAACAACTGCCACCAAATCAAGGGACATCTCTGTAACTTCAAATATAGCTCTGTCAAATGATATTAAAAATGGAGCAGAAATGCCATGAAAGATATTTGGCAATATTTCCCCCCCTCCAAGCTGAAATAAACTTATCCAAAGTCACATGATCCAATGACTCATCCCAAAAGCATTATCTCAAGCAATATGGTGACAGATTCTCATGCTAAAGAGGGACATACTAATTCTATCAAAAGAATTAGACGTAGACTGAAGGATTCACAATAGAATTCTAATAATTTTTGATTGAATAGTTTTAAAATGCAACTGGTTAGAATAAGCACATCTCTGTGTATTGAACAATAGCAAACTAAAACTTTTGCATTAAATAGTTTGATTGCAGCAGGAACTGAAATATTTCCCATTGCAGCTGGCAAATTAATAATTATGATTGCAGCATTTTTGAGCCAAGGCTCAGATGTTAAGAATCAAGTGCATCCAGAAAGCAGAGGCGTGGAAGAAAACGCTTCAGTATTTGAACACCTTTATCTGCTAAAGTTGAAAACTATTGATTTCCCATATAACTGCAATATCTCTTAGTGAAAAGGAGTTCCTCCAGTTTGGAATAATTTGTTTCCAAACGTTTGTCCTGGTAATGTTTGGCTAATGCCATGAGAAATAGCATGTCGATGTAGGCCAGTGGAAAAATTGCCATGTCTTCAGCACAAAGAAACATGGAAACTATTCTGTGGTAAAATGGAGTAAAGTTCCAATGTAGAAAAGGGTTATACATACAGTACAAGCTAGATAGGAGGAGAGCAAAGGTACAATCTTGCATAATCTCCTTTTGCATAGGGATTGGGAGATTTCTCAACTTTCATTTTTACTTGGAGTTCTATTTCTCAAACAGTGGATTAGTTAAGAATTCTGTCCTAGATCAGGGTCTGATCCAAAGAATTAGATCATCCCTGAGCTTGGGTTCATTATTTTCAAAACATGTATAGTATATAAGCTAAAGCAGCAGTCTTCAACCTTTCTGGCTCCATGGAGCAATGGTGGTGGGAGATGGTTTTGTGCATGTGCTCGCCACTTATGCAAATGGAGCTTCATGTGCTCACCTACTGCTTGTGTGTCCTGATTTCTAAGGGGCCATGGACTGGGTCCGGGCCATGGATCAGAGGTTGGGGACCCCTGGCCTAAAGATCAGGATCCCTGTCCTTTTTCTGATTCCCCACCTCACCCCCACTTTCTACCTCTGAGTTTTCTAGGCCTCTCTCCCAGTTAAAAAGAGACAAAACTACTGGCAGTGATCTGATTGCAACAGATCAGATAATCAGATAAATTATTGATCAGATAATCTGATCAATAATACTCAGGAGGATGATTCCTTCTATAGGACTCATGTGAAATGTGATTTCACTGGTAACCTCATATCCAAATCTCCACCAAAGACAGGGAAAGATGGGGTTAAAGGAATAGTTCCCCAAGTTAGTGAACATTCCAGACTGTTGCAAGTTGGTTACCCAAAACAAATCTACCAATTGGATTTTTGTTGGATATTTTTATTATAAGAAACAAGCAAAAACAGGTTTAGAAGTGTTCATTTGCTTTCAAAATACTATTAAATAAAGAACTAACTAGGAATCGGACTCTTAAGAAGAATACATGAAAGGGGTGAGATAGTATGGCAACTGACCCAGTCTCACCTCTTTCCAAATGTACAAAGGTGAAGAAAGTTCTTTCACAAGCAGTAGTATTTATTTGGCTGTTGGACTTCTCCAAAAAATAGGGTGGAATTCAAATCAGTTAGTAACTTCAAAGGACATGATTTTATTTCCTGCAGATGATTCCTGCATATGCTATGCAAAAAAAGAGAGGCCTTTTTACGGCTGAGGACCACGCCTACTTCAAGGGCTGCATTTCAAAAAGCAAGTAGAGCAAGGCAAAGACTAAATTGGATGTAATTTAATTTTTATTAATTAAATGCATTTACTTTAATTGTTCTGTATGCATTTAATAATGTTTCATTTTGTATTGAAAATTGAAATTGATAGCCTCTTTTGCAAGGATTCTAGAAACCAAAGTTAAATTTTAGGGATCACACTTTGTGCTATGTGATAAAGATGGCTCTGAACATATAGCAATTGTTATCTGGTTTTGTTTGATTATGTTTTCAGGTTGTGTGATATTGTATTATGTTGCTGGACTAGGAATAGAGATATTCAGGCTTAAATCTACGTTTAGAAATTCCTGGATGAATTTGGGCTGGTTACTCTCCCTCACCCAAATCTACCTCCCAAGGTTCTTATGGAAAAAATTGGAGGAGGGAGTGCTGTGTATTCCACTTTATGCTCCTGATGGAAACATAGGATACAAGTCTAAATTGGATTTGGGAATGTGTTTGGTATAAAGTTTGGATTTTGCTACAAAATAAAGACATATGATAACAAAGCAAATCACTTTTACATGATTCGTTCTATTCATTATGTGATAAAAACGTCCTGCTTTTTAGAACTTGGAACAAATTTAAAAAGGGGTTGGGTAAGAAGATGTTTGACAAATGTTGAATGTGCCTTCTTCACAAAAGGAGATCTACTTTTTTTTTACATTGCTTCACAAGGTATTGATAATTTAGCAAGCTGACATGACTTAGCTCTAGCCTAAATTGCAGTGTGAAATACAAGAACTAGTTATTTGTAAAAATAATAAAGGCAGGATACAAATAAATAAAGTAAAATAAATAATGGAAGAAACTAGCCATAGGACAAGTTGCCAGGGAGAACTCAACACGAGATAACTCTACTGTTCCATTCTTAATATTATTAGTAATATTATTATTGTTCTTAATAACCTTAATAAAATCCCAGTGATTTTAATAAACTAAGAAATGAGGAAGAGATAGACGGTTGCTCTAATAATATTAAGAGAGGAATGGGTCTAGAGCAGGGGTGGGTTCTAATTTTTTTTACTACCGGTTCTGTGGGCGTGGCTTATTTTGTGGGCGTGGCTTGATGGTCATATGACAATTATTTAGGATTTAGCAGAGGTACTGGTCTACCAGGCTTTTAACTGCTTGCATAGCTGTACTGATCTACCCATTTATTTTTGCGGGCACTGGTCTACCCATTTATTTTTGCAGGCACCGGTCTACTCATTTGTTTTCTTTTAACACTGATCAGCTGTAGGGCGGCCCTTTGAAGCCCCACGGCAAGAGTTTAAACAGTTTTTTTCCCTCTAGCCATCAGCTGGGACTCAGGAGGCAGCAATAGATTGGGGGTGGGGCCAAATAAAAGGTAAGAATAATGTGGGGGGGGGCCCGGGGAGGCGGAGGGGGGGCAGAACCAGTTCAGTGACTTCATATTGTCACCGCTACCGGGCTGAACCGGGAGGAACTGGTCTAGAGTACAGTTATCTTGTGTTGATTTGTCCTGCAGTAAATTGTCCTAAGGCGAATTGGTAATAGCAATAGCACTTAGACTTATATACTGCTTCACAGTGCTTTACAGCCCTCTCTAAGTGGTTTACAGAGTCAACATATTGCCCCCAACAATCTGGGTCCTCATTTTACTGACCTCAGAAGATTGGAAGGCTGAGTTGACTTTGAGCCTGGTGAGATTCGAACTGCCAAATTGTAGGCAGCCGGCAGTCAGCAGAAGTAGCCTGCAGTACTGCATTCTAACCACTGCACCACCACAGGGTAAATTGGCTGCGGTGAGTTGGCCCATTCTGGAAAGAAATAAAAGCTGACACCATTAGCCTCAATAGTGAAAATAACACTTCAGTTTTATAAATTTATATTGGCATTGTCTGTGTGTGGACTAGAGTTTGATCATCAGATATCATTATCTAATATCTGCATGATTCTCCTTTAATAAGATCTTTGGAATTATGGTATAAACTTATTAGCATAAACTCATTTCTTATGATATAAACGTTACAGCATGGCTGTCTTGTATGTAGAGTACATAGGCTGTCACTTTTGCTCAATCGCAGTACAAACATTTAATAAATGCAAAGTTGCTTCATAACCATGCTTCTATTTTATGTCAGTTTTTAAAAAGTTATTATTTTATCCAAGTGTTTTACTGAAAATTGTTCTATTGATTTCTTGTGCCGTGCTCAGAATCTTCTGGGAC